AGAAGATATTGGACGCGGCAGACTCTGCCAGTTGTGATAATTCATGAGGAAAAATTTGCTCAAGGCACCCAAAAAAAAAATCTACGACAACCCACATGAGAGCCAAGTTCATTTAATGCGATACAGTCAGAATTATCGAAAGTTATGAAAAACGTCTTTTGGGTTAGGGGTGGGGCGGGAGGGGGTGGTAGGTTTATAGCCACTGAGAAACTCATCAAATTCCATCTACTACATCCTATTCAGTAAATAGTCGGTACAAATTAGATAAATTAAAAGTAACAATAAAAATATAAAAAAAGATAAAGAAAGAAAGTTCATGCATTTAATACCTCTGAACAGTGTGCTTTACATATGTTACATTTTCTATATTTTTCTATATTTGTCAGTACATGTTCTTCTTAGAAAGTGAAACAGCGCCCAAGAGTAATCGAGACTCCCTTATTAGGACAGGGGCCAAGATACTTCTTCAATCATTATCCAGGACACTGAATTCCACCTGGTGCTAGCATCACCCAGGGTATCACCGCCACTACACTGTCCTACCCATAATTCCACTCTAACCGCGCCTTGTGGGATGTTTTCACAGTACCCCTCAGATGACAGATGACTATGCAGATTATGATTTTTTTGAGCATAAGTATTCCAGACCCTCATGTTTCCCTGGAATGCAACTCTGAGTACTGAGCTAGAATGTGGTTTGTTAAACGCACAGTCCTGGAATATGATCAAACGTGCTTTACTGAGTCGATCGACAGGGTAATGATCGATGTCAAAAGAGTATATGGGACAGAGAATTAAGGAATCTTATTGCGTTGAATGGGATATATGAATCTCATTCAAGTTACATGTATTTTTAGAGCTTGTAACTAAACGGAAGTCTGATTCCTGGAAAATCCGCATATCTCAATTGATTGTTTGAAACGTCATCGAGTTCACATGCGACTGCCTCAAAGCAAACAAAGCAGAATATTTTAATATTTTAATTAATGGCGACACATCAAGAGAATATAATACCTCATTATTTTTTCTTGACATGAAAATTGAATGAAATTGAGAACGTCTCTGGAAACCACCCCCCATGAATTTCAAGCGTTTTTTAATGTTCTGCTACATAGGTTTCAGACTAGCTTCCGCAAATTCTCCTCTACCGAGACCGCCCTTTTATCCGCCTAGTTGATCAGCTGCTCTTCGACTTGGACAGGAACGGAGCATCGGGGCTTGTGTTTATTGACTATAAAAAGGCTTTTGACCTCATAGACAACGGTCTGCTCTTAGAGAAATTGAAAGCCTATGGGGTACGTGATAACGCGCTGGACTTACTACGCAGTTATCTAAGTGGACGCACACAGTATGTACACATCAATGACTGCCATTCCTCCCCTAGAACTTTGTCGGCTGGAGTACCACAAGGGAGCATTTTGGGCCCCATTTTGTTTCCCTTGTTTATTAACGATCTGTCATCGACAGCACAGCATTCTACCGTAGACATCTATGCGGATGACACTACTCTCAGTTTATCATCAGACGTGACTAATGACCCTACTGCCATGTCATCAGCCCTTCAACAGGACTTAGATGACGTCTCACGATTGTCGGCTGCCAACAAAATGGTTACAAACGCTACGAAGACAAAATGTCTCCTTTTTACATGGAAACGTATACCATGCAAGCTTGAAGATTGTTCACAGGAACTCAAACTTGATAACTCGAACATAGAACAGCTTGATAGTCAGAAACTCTTAATTAGGGTTACTATTGACAAACACTTAACCTTTGATGTACACGTTGAGGAACTGTGTAAGATGTTATCCCAGAGAATAGCGGTTCTTAGAAAGATAAGGAGATTCATCCCTATTGAACAGCGCATACTTTACTACAGTGCTATGATCAAACAAGTAATGCTGTATGGGTCAACTATCTGGTAAAACTGCTCAGCTGATAACTTAACGAGAATCCTCAAGCTGCAAAACCGTGCTGCCCGAATAATGTTAGGAGTTGACACAAGATCAAATTGCGTAAATCTCTTTAATAAATTAGGGTGGCTCCCAATTTATGACGAAGCTAAAGTTAATAAGTGTTCGCTAGTCCCTAAGCGCCTACAAGGAAACTGCCCCAGCTACATGTATGACCTTCTTAAATGCTATGCAGATTTACCCTCACGCAGTAGGCAGCAGTATAGTGCCTTAAACCTCTTCTACCCCAGATATAAGGGGGAGAACTTTTAGCGTGTCCGCGACCAGGCTCTGGATTTTTTTAAAGAGATACAATGACGTTGATCATTTTTATTAGCTTAAGTGAAACTTCATTTTATTTCTTAGTTTTATGCTAATCCGGCATTTCACAACCTTCCTCTCGCTTGACCCATCCTAGTTGTATTCTTATTGTAATTATAGTTTTGAAGATATTCATTGTAAGGATATTATATAATTGTAATACAGTCTTTACTCTTTTTAGTCTTATTCATATAATGCTTATAGTTATTTTTCTTTAACGACATGTTTTTTTGGTTACTTAGTTTTTGTTTTAGAGTTTTAGTTTGAGGGTCACTAGTTATTCAGTTGAAGACTGTCCCGTGTTACCCTCGTTAAATAACGTTGATTATACCAGCTGTTGCAGCTAAGATTACCTCCTAATTTAAACTTGGTAATAGCTTAAAGTTTTGTTGCCCATATCCATATGGTCAGGAATCATTTTACTCATGTACAATGGCTTTCCTATTTTCTACCCACAAGAAACAAAGTCAAGTGAAATGTAATTTAATTTTAATCTTTGTTATGTGTTGGAAAATGTATCACTTTGGAAAAATTCCATGAATGTGAGTGGGGACGTTCTTTTTGAAAATATTTTATTCGAAAAGGAATGAATTATCTTTGCAGTGTGTTATTCATGATTCTTATTCCATTTACGTATACCTTAATTTTCCCTTTATCAGTACCGCTTTAGCTACCTGATTTCCACACACATTGTTTCCACTTGGTTTGTGTTACTACACTTGCTTGACTTGCTTTGGCGCTTTCTCCTTTCCCTCCATCCTTTGTCTCCTTTTCTTTCTATTGTAAAAATGACAACTGTAGATAGTCTACATTAGCTTTCTAAAGATCGCTGAACGAACCATTTGAAACCTTTTGAGTTTAATCAGGGTCACCTATTGAGAATATAGTTTATAACCTCTTAAGCATAGCATTGTTGACCGTAATTTAGTAATAAACAGTACATATAAGCATATTTTTCTCCCCTAAAAATTTTTCATCTGTTCAGATTTCCTAGCTAAGATAGTGATCCGAAAATTATAGGGATCAAAACTTGCCTTATCGAAAATTTCAGCCAGAAAAAAGGCTCCCGAAAATTCTAGATGACCTTTTTGGGGTCAAAATACGTTAAAAATTATACCATTTTTTAGATGTTCGAAAATCCTAGCAGAAGCAAGCAAGCAAGAAATTTTACAACAAATTCTCAAAAAATTCTAGATCTCAAATCGTCTTCCGAACAGATATTTTCCGAAAATTGACGTTCAACCTACTGAGGTTGTTACCAGATTAGATCACTGATTAAATCATTTAAAACTTACAGATTCAATTGATGTTTATCATTTGCTAACTAATTTTGGAGGTTAAGTTATTTTTATTTGGATCGAGTATAGCTTGAGTTTAAAGCTAATCAAGACCGAGAGAAAATCAAAGGATCAATTCTCTACCATAAACTTTTTCAGAGTGATCTCAGAAGTAGAAATTTATCTTTTCATTCTTCGTTCTTGTCTACACATGTATGAATTATTAGCCACCGGTCTCGTAATAATATTCTGTTGAAACAATGGAAACGGTGCCTTAATTTCCATGTACTTATTCAGCTTCCTTGAGTGAGACCCCAGTGCTACCTGGGTTAATCAGATGCAAGCCATGCATCGGATGTGCATATCGAATTGTAATTTTAAAATGATTTGAAAACGCCTTATCGAATATAAATAACTATGCTTGTTGGGGCTTGAGAATTAGCATAAGATTGAGCGTGAGATTGTATTTTGCTATCTTTAGGTGTTGGCAAGAGAAGTTTGTGGTGCGCTGGTTTTACTGATCCGCCCAAACCATCCGGGTGGTATCGCAAATATATAGGGAACAGAACAATAGAGGAGACGTCAGCCAATCAGAAAATACTGACTACACTATAACTGATAAAACTGATTGGACAATAACGATTCTTTTATCTTTAATTGGTTTGTTCGTTGTTGTGATTTGAAATGGCAAACGGAAGTACCTTTGAATGAAACTTTTGCTGGCCTTCTCGTTAAATTGAAACATTTTTTAAGAAATAGAAAAAAAGAGAAAGAAACGACATTCTGATTATCAATGCTGGCATTCCCATATTCACTAGAATTAAACAAAGACATTTATATCGATCTGTCTTATTTTTGCGACATATATTATATCTAGCTAATTCTTCTTTGTTTTAAGGAGGCAAGTAAACTGCGTTAATTCTTTTAATTAAAAGAACTAATCGGATGAACCGAAGCTAACCGATAAACTGTGAACATCAAATCATAATAGAAGAAAGGAAAATCAGCGACTGTCTTAGCGGCCGACCGGTTCATTTATAGTTATAGGGCGTAAATAGAACGACAAAAACTGTAGTGTACACGAAGACTGCGTGTCATTTAGCCACTGAAATTCTAAGCTAGAGATGAGAAAACGACGTGTAAGCGACGAATTTAAAAACGAGCTAACAACGCAAAAATTTGGCATTGGTTGTCGCCAAACCAAAATTGATTCATAGTGTGTTTATGTTTTTTGTTCGAGTTTGTTTTTAAAATTCATAAAAACAAAACTTTGAACGTGAGTGATAACACCCTTTGTTTTAGATAAAAGCTAGAAATGCAAATTGTTATTGTGGTTGCAGAAGCCATTGTTGGTTCTTTGTGGTCGGTGGTGAACTTAAAACAAGACTTACTATCATTAATTTTGTATTGTTTACTCGTTATTTTTCAAAACGGCCAAAGCGAATAATGTCCCTGCTTCAGCATTGTTTTACAGCCGATACAATGTTTCTGACATCCTTTCTAACCATCGCCATTAGCATTGTGACGTAGTGCCCACCGTACATTTTTTTTTTCCTTTTTAATTTTGGCTCAACATTGTCTCTTCATTCTTCTTTTAATAGGGAGCTCAAGCAAAGGCATTCGACGCACGTCAATAGGAAGTAAGACCTTTATCTTTCTTAATGTCATGAAACCAAAATTTCTTTTTCTAATAGTCTTAATAGAACCCTTTGTCCGAAAATTTGGGCATCATACTGCTCGGCAGAATACAGCCCAAAGATGCAAAAAACGCACTTTCGGTTGACGCACGTCTGACTCAAAACGTCTTTGTTCAAGCTCACTATTAAAATGCTGAATAATATCAACATGTAAAACGTTTTACCTCCACTTCTCCTTTCCTCACTTGATCTCCCAAACTTGAGTCAAGCGCAAGGCGCTTGAATTTGTGGTATCCCGTTCACGCGCGTCTTCATACCCCCTAGGTTTTCTTCACCTTCAGATAATTGTCATGTAATATATTCAGCCGCATCCCCATAACTCATCTACATCTCAACTCCACTGACTTTACCCGAAAAGTGAGTAGAGAATATCCAGCCATGCATGTTGCCTGTTAAGGGGTGCAATGGTTGTTAATACAGTCTAACCCAGGCAACTCGAACTCTCAAGGGAAACGAAAACTAGTTCTACTTAGCGGGGAATTTGAGTTATCCGAGTAAGTTTCAGTAAAGTTTTGATCAAGGAAGAGGAAATTTAGTTCGAGTTAGCGAATAATTCTAGTTAGTATATACTAAAATAGTGGATAGTGTTTTTCGCGCGCTTTGATTGGCTACTCAATCAGTGAATATCCTGCACTATTCACTGATTCACCTCCAGATCCTCCGAGCGAGCGACGCCAAACTCGCGTAAGTTGCAAGCAAAACTCCTTCCGGTTTGCTGCCGTAACAAACTAAGAAATTTCACAACTAATCAAGCAAGCTATGCAAGCTCGTCAATTTGTCGCTAAGAAAAAGCGACGACCGCGGCCGTTCGGTCATCGCCGCCAAAACTGTAATCGTTGGCAACAGTAAATGAGTTAAAAATCATCATTTTTGTGCTCAATTATCTCACTGTTTTATTACATACTAAAACAGTTATTCTCCTCAGTGTCGTTGGCTAGTAGTGGATATTCACCTCGCCGTTTCACGGCCTCGGTCAATCGCCACTACTAGCCACCTCCACTTCGGTAAATAATTGTTATTTATCCGAGTCAGTTATCGCGGTTCTACTGACTGTATAAGATGCATGATGCTGGTCGTGACCATAAACTGGTCGCCTCTAGCTCTTACGGAAGAAAGGAAGAAGTTGCGAACAGTCCTTCGACTGCATATAGAATGATAAAAACTTATTGAACCTTATTGTCACAAAATATCTTCATTTGTTGGAGTGTCTGCCTTGCCTATTATCATTGCAAAATATCGTCGTTTGTTGGAGTGCTGCACTGGTATCGCAGAGGCCAAGGGTTCGAATCCCGTACAAGTGTGTTTTTTATTGATTTTTTTTTTTCAGGCTTTCTTTTCGCGACCGAAAAAATTAAAGTTACTTCCCTCCCCTTTCGAACGCTGGCACGCATGCAAGAGATAATCAAGTTATCCAATAATCATATTCATCTTTCCAGATAATTGTTATAAATTTTACAAGGTACGTTTTTTCTCCTCAAAAATTCTTATTCGATTTTAATAATGGTTTTACCTCGAAGTGGTTAGCCACAAACTGGGAATCGTCGAGTAATCAGCTCCTGGAATCGTGCATTGATAAAAGTTTTAATTAAAGCAATATCTAATTAAATCGTTTTTTTTTTTTTTTTTTTTTCCAGCAGCTGTCCGTAAGTTCTTCCGCTGAGATGAAGGATTATATCACAGCCTTTACTTTGACTACATATTTATAAACTTCAGGAAATGAACGACAGTCTGATGTCCTACTTGCTAACCCAAAAGAGAATGAGTTCCCCGGAAATATATGCTGTATTGATAAATATTTTTCTTCCATAATGTATCGCCTAAAAAAGTATTGCCAACTGTCAATCGCTCTCCATAACAGTCATTTTTGTCTCGTCACGCAACCGGGAGGATCTTTGTGTGACAAGACAAAACGGCTGCATGGGGGACCAATTTATTTCGCGCTCAGACGATTATTGTGTCGTCACGAAAGGTGTCTCCCCACAAAGGAACTAGAAAAGCGCTGCGCGCAAAACAAAAGAACTGCTGCACAAAAGTGCATGAAAAGGACTAATATGTCAACATAATAATACAAAATTTTGATACTGTTATCAGAGTTTATTATTGACAATCTAATACCATAAAAGTAGCCACAAAGGGCTAAAAAGAATATAACCGAAAACAATACTTTTGCACCTTGCGTTTTACAGTCTATATTTGAAGAATGCTATTGTAAGGAAATTGAAACAAATCATTATCCGGGACACTAAACTCCACCCAGTGTAAGCATCACCCAAGGTGTAGCCACTACAATGTCCTACTGAATAATTCCACTCTGACAGATTTGTAATACTGAAGGGTAACCTGAAGCTATACTGTTTTATTATGCATCCATTACTCTTCAAGTCAAACAAAAACGGCAAACAAACAAACAACAAACGAAAAAAAAAAAAAACAAGCCGCAAATCCCGCATCGGAAGACATAATCTAGCAAGACGGCGACTGTAGCCACCTTAGCTAAAAATAAATTTAATTCAAATGATCAAAAATACTACTACTCCACTGTGTGCTTTACATTTTCTATATTTCTAAATGCTTTTCTTAGGAATGTAAAACAGAGACAAAGAATATTGGACACTCCCTATTAGGACTGGGGCCCAGACACCTCTTCAATCATTATCCGGGACACTGATATATACCCAGTGTAAGCATCACCCAGGGTCGTGCCAATACACCGTCCTATCCATAATTCCACTCTAACCGTGCCTTGTGGAATGTTTTCACAGTACCCCTCAAATGACCGATGATGCAGCAGATTATGGTACCCAGATGACTGCCAGTTGTTGTAAACAACAGCCTCAATCGTCATTGGTCCACTGCATTCATTTCCATTGAACTTGAAATACCAGCGATTGCACTCGACATTATTACCCATGACCCTCATGTTTCCCTGGAATGAGACTCTGAGCGCTGAATTAGACTGCAGTTTGTTAAACGCACAGTCCTGGAATAAAATCAAACAAATGAAACATATTGTAGGAAGGCGAGCAACCGTGTGTAATGATTGATACTAACAACTCCACTCAAGATTGTTTTTTAAAAACTCTGTAATAGATTAAATATTTGTTGTCCCTCGCCATATGGTCAGGAATTAATTTATTACGCACGATGGTTTTCCTTTTTTCGTCCATAGTAGAGGGAAATGTAACTTAGTTATTTATGTAATGTGTTGGAAAACGGTGGGTGAGAGGGGAAACGTTCTTCTTTGAATTATTTTGATTTAGACAGGAATGAATCTTCTTTGGAGTGTGTTATTAATGATTCTTATTCTAATTACCTTAATCTTTCCGTTGTCAGCATTGCTAAGTGATCTCCACACACATTGTTTCCAGTTGGTTTGTGGTAGTACACTTGTTTGACTTGCTTTGGCGCATTCTCCTTTGTCTCCTTTTCTTCCTTGATTTCCCACAATGCCTCGCTCTCCTTTCATTCCCACAGCCCCGCGCTCTCCTTTCATTCCCACAATGCCTCTTTCTCCTTTCATTCCCAGAAGTCCCTGTTAACCTTTCATTCCCTTAATTCCTAGGGGTCCACTCTTCCCAGGGGTTCCTTCGCGCCCTCTGTCTCCTCTTGGACCCGGCATTCCTTGTGATCCTTTATCTCCAATTTGTCACTTTTACACCTTCTCTTCCCTGGGGTCCCTGTGGCCCCGGGACGCCCGGCACTCCCGGTATACCATTTGTTCCTGGAATACCAGGGAAACCCAGCATAGATCGCTGAAAGTAAAGATGATTTGTAATTAGCAGAGACGAAGACGACGCGGGATCTTAAATATCTCGGGGGCTGGAAGGGGGGGGGGGGGTGTAGTACTCCTGGGAATTCTTGGTGGGGATGTGCCGCCCGGTTCTCCAAATCCTGGCTCTATTTCAGACCAAAGCTTGGGCTCTAAAATCCATACCAGTTTTAGGACCTTGTCTCTAAGAATTTATCCATGTCATTTTTACTTAGATTAATTCGCTTTCGGAAATGAAAGGATAATTCCGTTCATACTAGCTTGTAGCTACCTCGCAAACAATGATTCCACACCAAAATGAACAAAGTCTGTACCCGCCGGCCGTCTCCCTTGTTAAAGAGGCACGGAATGGACCTTGGACGTTATAATCCTATTTAAGGCGTTATCTCGCCTCGAATGGACTTGGATAGAATCAGAGAAAATTGACAGTTAACAATGGACAGCCTTCAGGTTTTCGAGGAAAGATCATGCTGAAGCGAGGACTTTTAAATAAACTGCCATACACTTTTAACGGGTACTATTTAGTAAATGATCATAACGACGTGCATGAGACTAGTAAAACAATTTCTGGGTGTACTTAATCTACGGGGCGGTACTCCTTTGTATATCTTTATGCATTTCTTACCTGGCATAAATCTTTTAACTTTGAGGCGTTCTGTTGCTGAGGTGAGGTGGTTGTTCCCAGTGAACCATCAGAAAAAGAGAGAATCAGAAAGACAGCGAAATACTGAACCATGGCGGTGAGAGTTAAGCGAGGACACAGCGTTTTCTGAAATCAGTGCTAAGTGTTCATCATTTTATAGCAAATATTTTAAGTAAATCCTAAGCTGTTCCGGTATATTGTTTGTTTGCTTTTGCTTGCTTCTCTTTCCTTTTATGGCAATGTTTTTGCATCTTTTTATTCTCTGTTTTTAAGTCCGCTTCAGGGTACTGAAACAGGGTCAAAGGTGAACATTCCAGAAAAATTAATCAAAGGACATAAATTTTTCAAAAGCAACTTTTAAAAGCAAGTTTTATGCATGCTATCGTTTCTAACGGTATCCGATGCCAAAAATTTAACTTTGCTTTCAATCCAAGTAGGCTATGTTATATCAGAAAACGTAGCGGCTCTATTAAGCTCCAGCTAAGCAAGCGTTAACGTGTCTAGTGTTAGTGTGTTTATTTTTAAAATCCCATATCCTATACCTTGATGCCCGGGTGGGGGGAAGGGGGCTTCCTATAACAACCTATACGGGGAGGCACTGCCCAGAAGGATACCTCTTTCAATTCAGGATAAACCATTCCACGTTATTTTCAACTTTTGACATGGACAAGCTAAAGAAACCAATGGAAAGACCAGAACACCTTTAGAAAAATTGCCAAGTCTAAAAGTCGGATTTGTTGAAAGCTAACGAAGATAAGGGGTGACGAATGGTCAGTTGCGAGCAGTTCGCGAGCATGCGAGCACTGCGATTTTTTTTTGCGAGCACGAGCAGAGATAAAAAAATTGCTTTGCGAGCACACGGTGAGCAGTTTAGGGAGTACAGCTCGCCAGCAGCGAGCACTTCTTATATAGAAACAAGATCCTCTTGTCAGAACAGCCTCTTCTGGAAGAATCCTAAAGCTTCCAAACCGTTTTTATAGAAAACACGGCCTAATTAAAGCCCAGTGAGTAGAGCGGTAGAGAAACTCAGAAGAACTCAAGGTGACAATATCTTCTCTTTGTAACCATATATAGCTACAATGTAGATTAGCCAATTTATTATTTATCGTTGTCATTTATCGCGTGCATTTACACTGAACTTGATAGCCATATTTATGGGAATTAAGCACCATACAGAATTACATTTACTTTAACCCAAACATGAAGGATTTACAAAATTTCGAGCAATACTGACAAGAAAGCGATCATGCGAGCAACTGCAAAAATTTGGGGAGCACGAGCAAGCGAGCACTCGTTTAAATTTTGCGAGCAAATCGAGCAAGGTAAAATTTTGCGAGCAGTTAAAAATTTTCATGGACCATTCATCACCCCTAAGATATAGCTCCTCAATGTCGCGAAATTTTACAGACGTTTGTATGGTGCTGGCCGGGCGCAAACTTGCTCCCCCCCCCCCTCCCCACCCTCCACGTACAAACGTCTGTCAATTTAATTTTTGCAACTTTATGGAGCTGTATCTTTGCACGCTTAAGACGTATCACTTCATGTCTCATTTGGCAATGTTACAGCCACTGAAATTGAAATTAAACTTCTGTTAGTACTAGGAGTAATTGGAGCTTAGGAGAGTGCGTTTGATATGTTTGCTAGCCATACAGGTAGCAGTTGAGGGGAAAGGGTGGATGGTTCTTGCGATAGATATCTATGATTATGGCATATTTTGAACGTAAGGGTTGCGTCAGAGGACCCGCAAGACTTAGAGATCGGCGAAGTCGGTCATCTGAAATGACCGATTGCGCAATGTAAAACAAAAGACGTGTTGATAACTCATAGAATACGATCCTCTCTAAATCATCACGACTGAATGTTTCATTTTATTTACAAGTCATCGTTTGACAGCTTAACCAAATTAATTAGAAATTTGATTCATTGCACTCAATGGAAACACAGAAAAAAACTCGTGGGACCTTTCAAAGCAAGCCGCGACAAACGGCGAGTAAAACGCGTGAACAATTTTGCGTGTGAGCTGCAAATGCCGGGTTAAAAACTATTTTTCTTGTGAGTGAAATATTTGGCTAAAAGCGAGGAAAACTAAATGCACGCCGTAACAATTATTCCGAAACCAAATCTTACATAGAATTCTTTAGTCAGTTTGCGAAGGTTAACGCAAAATGTTTTACTTTTAGTACAATATTTATTTTGCCAACGGAAGGCCTCGCTGCTTGAACGACTATAAACTGCGAGCAGTCTATTATTTTCCTTTACAAAGCCGCGAACTGCTAAATGCGGGCGTCTCGACCTTCAAAGATTTCACTGAAAAGCTTTGGCCGAAAACGGAAAGCGCGGGCATGGAAAGTCTCTGGCACCCAGGATAAATTCTCTATTCTAAAGTTGTTGTTTACAATCTCGCTAGCTGGAATAAGAACTAAACAGATTTTAAGAGAAAAGGCGGGCTGCAAACAGTCCAGAAAGACTTTCTTAAATGTTTGAAATAAACACGACCCAAAACTCGAAAACGAAGCACCCAAAAACTCGAAACCGGTCTGTCCTTTATAAACACCAGTCCAATGCTAATAAAGCAGGAATCAAGCACGATAACGAATTCTGCTGTTACCCACCATAGAGCCTGGTCCCAGGCTGTTATCCTAGAACAAATTCTGCCTGGATCTGATCTGATCTGATCACGCAGTGTCATAGATATCCAATATGTTAGACTGCAAAACAATCGGTTTTTCTCTCAAAATCAGTAAAGAAGTTGGTAAACGTGGCCTAAGAGTAATACGCGCGAGCCTCACACTCCGTTTTCAGCCTCGTTTCAGACCTTTTGTGTTACTGCTCACGCGTACTTGAATATGCCAAAATCTGCTGACGGACAGTTTTGAAGTCTACATAAACATGTATGTGTACCGAAAAAATGCATATTAAGGTAAGACGCATGTATCAAGTATAGCGAGACTAATATTAAAATTAATACAGGATATCCTATCTAGAAACGTTCAGTGAAACAGTTGGTTATAAAACCTTGGGATGGATTTTGTGGACCTTTGGAGGTGCGGACACATCCGCTGCCTCCACCTGATTCGGATTGCGTCATGTAAGACGTAAAGTTGCACTTATTAAACCTACAGTGGTTTCGAGTTTTCGTTTTCGAGATTTAGGGGTCTTCGTTTTCGAGTTTTGAGTGCTTCGTTTTCGAGTTTTGGGTGCTTCGTTTTCGAGATTTTGGGGTCTTCGTTTTCGAGATTTGGGTGCTTCGTTTTCGAGTTTTGGGTGCTTCGTTTTCGAGATTTGGGTGCTTCGTTTTCGAGTTTTGGGTGCTTCGTGCTTCGGTCTTCGTTTTCGAGTGCTTCGTTTTCGAAACTACCGTTTTCCTTCTTTCCCTCGTCGCGCGTTGATCACCATGCCGCACATGGAGCATTCTAAAATTGTATTTTTTCCGCCGCACTGAGACTTACATTTAGCGGTCATGAAAATGGTCTATGCAAAAAAAAGGCGGCCTGCAAGCAGTCTAGAAAAACTCTCTTAATTGTTTGAAATAAACACGACTTATAAACTAGTAATAATGTGAGACGTGACCTTA